TGTACATATCGGCATCGGCCCGATATGAAAAATTATGCCGATATGTCTCGTCGATAAGAGAAATACATTAACTCACATGTGCTCAGGGTGTGCTAGCGATTAGATCACGTCAGCAGTGTGGCTCATTCTTGAAGCAAAGTTTTGCCTGAATGGTGATTAGATTCACTGCTTTGGATCTAGTTTTAATTCTGTAGGGGGCGCTGTTGGCCTACTTTTAATAAAATGAAAGTTAAGTACACAAATAACATTTAGACTGTGTTTCTGATTAAATAAAGCGGTAATTGATGTCATAAAATCATGAGTATGTTTTGATTTAAAGGTCGGAAGCTATAGCTTACATGAATAAAAAACACAAATCAGACTTGTAAATTAAATAATTTTCTATATACTGATTTATTCATTAATGTGTAATATGTTATATTTTTAAACAAATTATGAGCTCTAAAAGATTTTCAGAATTTTTACAACTCTTTTTGCTTTATTTCCACACAGAAGAGACTTGGTGTCGTTTCCAAACAAAAGGAAATATATCGGTCGGTGCATCGGCTATCGGCCAAAATGAGTTGCAAAATATCGGCATATGGTATATCGGAAACAAAGCTAAATTTATGCATTGTTAACTACAGGCTTATTGCTTTTTTCAGGTCATGTGGTGAATTAATTCAATACAGAATGTCAGGTTATACTGCAGTAAATGTATTGAGGCACAGTTGGTTTATATTATGATAAGTGTTATACATCGAAATAAAACAGAAATGCTGTTTAGAAGTGCTTTTAAAACTTTGTTCTGTATTTGTGTGTATGGGAAAAGAAAAGCAATAAATAAAAATTTTTAAAAAAATAAAAATTGGATAAAGAGATATTTAAAAAAAAAAATATAGTAATAATAAATAAAAAAATAAAGCAGTGCAACTAATTAAAAGATTTATAGATGAACCTCAAATGTTGTATTAAACCGCAAGTACATTATAAAAGACAATAAGCAAAAGAACAACCTGCACATTTTTATAAAAAATTAGTGCAATAATAAATAGGAATATTTTTTTTGTACAGTTCTTGTTTTTAGCCACAGATTTTGTCCTTTGACAATAAATAAGCAATTTTATTTTATAATAAATTAATGCAATCATAAATTGCAATCAGTGTTTGTAATTGTTTTAGTTAGAGATGCACCAATTGCAATTTTCTTGGCCGATTCCGATTTTTTTGTAAGTGTGACCTGCCGATACCGATTTTTGCTGATTCCGATTTTTTTTGTGTTCAAAATTTAAAATGCATAAATAATTTTATAACATTAATGTTTTACTTTTTTTTTTTTAAACATACAAATAAGAAATTTTGGGGAAAATGCTATGATGTTTTTAAATATGAAATCAAACCACCAGTAGGTGGCGGCAAATGACTCTTTAAATGAGTGAGTCATTTAGTCATTCATTCAACCGATTCATTCAAACGGCTGATTCATTCAGAAACGAGGCAAGTGACAGTTTTTATGAATGGGTTACTGAATAATTGACTCACTTGATTCGTTCAAAAACGTGGATTAATTTAGTAACGAAACACCGCTGTGTTGCTCGGAGACACAACAGTTCTGCTGTGGCATTGATTGGAACTATTTTCGTCAGCGAAATTGAGCAAAAACAGTCAATATTATGTCTAAAATATAAGTCACTAATTTTAACTTGTTGTTTATTGAACTACTATTGTATAAAATCAGTGTCACATTGCAATCGCGTTGATATTGCAAACATCTTGGTCGTGTAAAGTTGCTTACCTAAATCATATATTTTAAATATTTTTTTTTTTCTATCGCAGTATGCATCTATATCTTTCTGTGAGTTACTCTGAGTGTTGGTGCCTTCATTTGTTTTGACTTCACGAGTCTCTCTCACTCAATTGCAATTTTTTCATAATAATTGCATTCAATATTCAATAATAACTCACAGTTTTTGTACAGTTTGTTTTGTTTTAGTCATAGTTTTTGTCCTTTGAGAAAAAATAATCAGCAATTTGTTATAATAAATTAATGCAATAATAAATTGCAGTGTTTGTACAGTTTTTCTTCTTTTTTATGTTTTAGTCAGTTTTTGACCTTTGACAATAAATAAGCAATTTTATTTTATAATAATTAATGCAATAAGAAATTGCAATCAGTGTTATTTTTTTTTGCAGCTCTTTTACTTAGTTTTCTTAGTTGTCTTTTGACAAAAATATCCTGCAGATTTTGTCATGTCATATTACAAATAAGAAATTTTGGGGAAAATGCTATGATGTTTTTAAATATGAAATCAAACCACCAGTAGGTGGCGGCAAATGACTCTTTAAATGAGTGAGTCATTTAGTCATTCATTCAACCGATTCATTCAAACGGCTGATTCATTCAGAAACGAGGCAAGTGACAGTTTTTATGAATGGGTTACTGAATCATTGACTCACTCGATTCGTTCAAAAACGTGGAATCATTTAGTAACGAAAAACCGCTGTGTTGCTCGGAGACACAACAGTTCTGCTGATTGGAACTATTTTCGTCAGCGAAATTGAGCAAAAACAGTCAATATTATGTCTAAAATATAAGTCACTAATTTTAACTTGTTGTTTATTGAACTACTATTGTATAAAATCAGTGTCACATTGCAATCACGTTGATATTGCAAACATCTTGGTCGTGTAAAGTTGCTTACCTAAATCATATATTTTAAATATTTTTTTTTTTCTATCGCAGTATGCATCTATATCTTTCTGTGAGTTACTCTGAGTGTTGGTGCCTTCATTTGTTTTGACTTCACGAGTCTCTCTCACTCAATTGCAATTTTTTCATAATAATTGCATTCAATATTCAATAATAACTCACAGTTTTTGTACAGTTTGTTTTGTTTTAGTCATAGTTTTTGTCCTTTGAGAAAAAATAATCAGCAATTTGTTATAATAAATTAATGCAATAATAAATTGCAGTGTTTGTACAGTTTTTCTTCTTTTTTATGTTTTAGTCAGTTTTTGACCTTTGACAATAAATAAGCAATTTTATTTTATAATAATTAATGCAATAAGAAATTGCAATCAGTGTTATTTTTTTTTGCAGCTCTTTTACTTAGTTTTCTTAGTTGTCTTTTGACAAAAATATCCTGCAGATTTTGTCATGTCATATTAATTTTAGTCAAACATTGACTAAAATACAGACCCACAAATACATTATCAAAAACAAAAAAGTGAAACGCAACACATAACCAGCAGATAACTTGACATTGTTTTCAAAATCGCAAAAGAACGTTTTTGTAACATATATAATATATAATATGTGGCCCTGCAGCACAAAAGCAGTGTTAAGTCGCTGGGGTATATTTGTAGCAATAGCCAATTTTGACCTTTGACAATAAATAAGCAATTTTATTTTATAATAAATTAATGCAATAATAAATTGCAATCAGTGTTGTTGTTTTTTTACAGCTCTTTTACTCGTAGTTTGACAAAAATATCCTGCAGATTTTGTCATGTCATATTAATTTTAGTCAAACATTGACTAAAATACAGACCCACAAATACATTATCAAAAACAAAAAAGTGAAACGCAACACATAACCAGCAGATAACTCGCAAAAGAAAGTTTTTGTAACATATATAGCCAACAATACATTGTATGGGTTAAAATTATCAATTTTTCTTTTATGCCAAAAATCATTAGGATATTAAGTAAAGATCATGTTCCATGAAGATATTTTGTAAATTTCCTACCGTAAATATATCCAAACTTAATTTTTGATTAGTAATATGCATTGCTAAGAACTTCATTTGGACAACTTTAAAGATGATTTTCTCAATATTTAGATTTTTTTGCACCCTCAGATTCCAGATTTTCAAATAGTTGTATCTCAGCCAAATATTGTCCTATCCTAACAAACCATAAATCAATGGAAAGCTCATTTATTCATCTTTTCAATTTAAACAAATTGACTCTTATGACTGGTTTTGTGGTCCATATGCATATTTTATTTTTAGTTTTGTTTTATTTAGTGCATGAGTTTACCTCATTGGAGTGTGTTCGGTTCTGGTGCTTTGCGCGGTCTGACGCATTGGAGAAAGCCTTGTTGCAGCCCTCGTGTTCACACACATACGGTTTCTCGCCGGTGTGCGAGCGCAGATGCGTCTTCAGGTTCTCCAGACGCGAGTATGCTTTATTACAGCCTTCAAACTGAGACGCACAAACAGAAACATTTTTTACATCAGTGTTTTCAAGAGCGTTCAAACACAGACTGTCAGAGAGAGAGTACTCACAGTGCACTTGTGAGGTTTCTCTCCCGTGTGTCTGCGCATGTGGACCACTAGCATGTACTGGGCCTTAAAGGGCCGCTGCTCTCGAGAGCAGTCCTTCCAGTGACACACAAACTCCTTCTTCTCCCCGTGGATGTGCTCGTTATTGATGTGCTGTACAGAAAATCAGAGCAAAATCAGATTAAAAAGCATGACGACAGACAAGAGATGCTCGATGGAGGAAAGAAGTTGTTGGTGCCAGTGTTACTTTAAAAGCTATTTATTTAGCTTTTTTCAGTTTTCAATTTTAGTTCAAGTTTTAAGTCATTTTGTTATGTGCTCTTGTCATTTTATTAGCTTTTTTTAAAATATATTTCTATTTTTTAATTTCAGTTCAATATTATAGTATTTGATATTTTGAATTAGCTTTTACTGTTATATTTTCATTTTTCAATTTAATTTTAGTAATTTGGTAACTTTGTTATGTGTTTCAGTCTTTTTTAGCCTATATATACATATATATAACAATAAAAAAAAAATAAAAAAAATAGATTTTAACAATTTTCAAAAATCATGTTTTTTTTTATTGTGCATTCCAATTAATCTCAATCAAACTGTAGTTGGGTTCTTTTGATTAGGTAAAAAATAACTAAAAAAAACAGATAACTAACACAATAAAAACATGATAACATAATAAAAAACATGATTTTTGAAATTTTATTTTATTTTCAGTTATCTGTTTTTGCAAATAAACTCTTCATATGTATGTCTCTTCCCCACTTAGATTTATTTCTATGCAGACTACGTGTTCACCCAGGCTGGGATTCCAGCTGCCAAGATTCCGTACGCTACAGTGGGAACTGGAGCTTGTGAGTGCATCACCGCACTGACATGTGTAAGTCTGGAATTTGTCATTATACCTGCACAAATTCGTTTTTCTCAGAATGCATGACACAGAGCATAGAAATAAAGCAAATATTATAACGTAGGTTAATACTATAATTGGTAAGCTATGGATTATGGGCAGATTTGGCATAAAGTTGTTATGCCAATATTTTTGTACTTGCGCTTAAACTTATTCTTCTCGTTTTTATTTACATTTCGCAAGTTTAAGTTTTTCATCTGATATTTATATTTTATTTTATTTTGATTTTATTTCATTTACCTTTTTTATTTTTTGTAATATTTTTGTTAACAATAACAACTGCCTGGTGCAATGTGCCATTTTTGAATCTTAATGCAAAAACAAATGAGATTTCAGAGCTTCAGAAGAAAAGAAAATTATTAGCAAATGAAGGGTTGATTTTCCTTCTGTTCATCACATAAATCTATCATATGACTTCAGAAATCTTGGTATATACCATAAAAGTAATACGTACTACTGTTATGGTTTTTACAAAGACAAAATTTCTCTTTTCGTGGTTTTTGTGAAACAAAATAACAGCATGCATGTTTGAAATGTCATGCCGGTGAGTTATTGACTCTTTGAAACGAATCTCTTACATGCACGATTTGCTCCTGAGTGTCGAACTCTTTGCTGCAGCTCTCCCAGTGACAGTTGGTCTCGTAAATGGCCTCTGGTTCAGGTTTCTCCTCCTTATCAAGATCATCTCTGCCTTCCAGTAAACCCAGAAGAGGATCCTGCAGAACACAGCGCAGGAGCTCATGTCAGAACAACGTAAACATGGACCCATTTTACTGCAACCGAAATCTGGAGGATGTGAATCCATTACTCAAGCATTAGACAATGTTCTGAACTTTACCTGGGTTCCTGTTGAGGATGGACTCGCCACGTCTCCCTCCGAATGCTCCTCCAGGCTCTTGATGTTAATGCTGTTCATCACGCTGCCCAGAACAGGCTCTGTCTTCAGCTGGAGACACACACAGCGGGGTCATTATAATTAACTAAAACTAAAAATATTAAAACATTTTGTTAATTGAAATAAAGATAAAATAAAATAAATATTAGATGAAAAACTTATTTCTAATTTTCATTTAAATTAAGATGAAGCACTAAAATGACTAACTGAAAAAAAATGATAAAATTGCTAAAACGGAAATAAGAACAAACCTAAATAGTAATGTAAAAAAAAAGCAAAACCACATAACAAAATTACCAATTTGCATTTTAAGTTATTAAATACAATTTTTTTTTTTTTCTTTTACAAAATAACTAAATGAATGACTAAATAAATAAATAAAAACTAAAACT